ACGGCTATCAACACATATTCTCCAAGAGCCATCTTCCTTAGGGGTCAACAAAGCAAGGACAACACATAGACTAAGACTATGATAAACAGACCCTTTTTGCAACAGTCCATCTACTTGCCTTTGGAGTTTAGCACACTCAGTGGGATTCATACGATAATGGGGAATATTAGGCAACTGAGATCTTGGAACTAAGTCAATAGCATGCTGAACATCTCTTATTGGTGGCAACTCATCGGGTAGTTTCTCAGGAATCACATCATGAAACTTTCTCAATAGACTATCAACCTTAGGCAAAAGATCGTCTTTAAATTCCAGAGGACTTTGAACAACTTCTTTGACAATTAGAGCTACCATTATACCAAACTCTTTTCTCTCTTTCTCAAATTCTCTATGGGTCAAGATGTGAAGGTCTTTCTTGTGAATTACTGGGGAAGATGACCTATGCTTTGAAGTATTACTTTCTGAGGGTTTCGCAGGTTTTAACTTAATGGTTTTCCCCTTATGCTTAAAAATATAGGTATTTGTCCTCCCATAGTTTGTCACATCTAGATCAAAAAGCCACGGGCGACCCAACAAGACATGAGCGACATCCATAGGTAAGATATCACACCATATATGATCTGAATAGGGACCAAACATCTATGTGAGACTGGTAAGGAGGTCTTGTCAACCCATGCGACTTTGTAAGGTTGTGGGTGTGTCTCTGACTTAAGCTGCAACTGAGCTACAACTGATTTAGAGATGACATTTAATGAACTTCCGCTATCAATGACGACCTTGCAAACTTGACCCCCACATCGGACTAGAGTATGAAAAATGCTGGTGCGTTTCCATGCTGCTGTGTCTGAAGGGGTGGATAAGATACATCGCATCATATTGACACGGGTGTCATCGGTTTGCCACTCTTCCTCACCCTCATCTAGTAACTCTAAGGATTCCTCATCCAAAGGATTAACTTCTAGGTCAACATCCTCTCTGTCAAGTGAATTCTCTAATCTCTGGTCAATGGTCAAGGTACGCTGAGGGCACTGTGAAACAATATGACCCTTGCCATGACAACGGTGACACTCTATAGAAGAACTGTCCTGGCGAGAACCTGTGAGTATAGAATCTCGACCCCTAGTGGTATTACCTCTCAAGTTGGGGTAATTATTACCCCTGGATGTGACAGGGCTTCACTGGGTGATGCCTCGAGACCGATAAAATGGGACTGACCTTGATAGTTGAGATTCTCCAGTTTGAGAAGGCATTCAACGCTGAAAGGGTGGTCTAAGGTATTGTTCAATCTCTAAGGCTTTATAATATGCTTCCTCAACCGTTTTAGGAGAGTGTAAGTTAAGCTCTCTCTTAATCTCAGGTCGTAAGCCATTAATAAATTTTGTAACTATTACCCAAAACTCTTCCTTTATGTCATATCTCAGAAAGAGCTCTTCAAATTGAGCTAGGTAATCAGTCACACTCGAGGACAATTGACGCAAGTTCATCCACTTGTCCAAGAGTTGGCGCTTATAGTAACTAGGGAGATATTTATCTCGCAATCTTTGTTTCATCTCAGCCCATAAAGTAATAGGTTGTCCCTTTAGGCGCTCTTGGTCTCGTTGGACTCCTTGCCAATATCTCTTAGCCGAACCAACGAGTTTTATTTTGGCAAAACGAACCCGATGGTTGTCGGACATATCATACCAATCAAAATAGTCATCCATGTCATCCAATCAATCTAAGAAAGCAACAGGATCTAACATACTATCAAAGCTAGGAGCGTCCACTTTGACTCTTTGTGTGATATCCCTAGATTCTTCGTGGACATGCCTATGTCGAAGATTATGGTAACGCGGAGGGGGAGACCTATGGTATCTGGCACGTGGGCAGAAGGGCTCACGATAACCATCCATATCACCTTATGCTGAATAGTCAGACATGATTACCTCAGTAGGATCCTCCTGAACATTCTTACGACCTACGTTTCGTCCCAAAGCGGTATTAGGAGGTATCTTCCTATTTAGACGCTCTATTCGGCTCTCCTGAGCTCCTTGCGGAGTGGGTAGNACAGGATCTAACATACTATCAAAGCTAGGAGCGTCCACTTTGACTCTTTGTGTGATATCCCTAGATTCTTCGTGGACATGCCTATGTCGAAGATTATGGTAACGCGGAGGGGGAGACCTATGGTATCTGGCACGTGGGCAGAAGGGCTCACGATAACCATCCGTATCACCTTATGCTGAATAGTCAGACATGATTACCTCAGTAGGATCCTCCTGAACATTCTTACGACCTACGTTTCGTCCAAAAGCGGTATTAGGAGGTATCTTCCTATTTAGACGCTCTATTCGGCTCTCTTGAGCTCCTTGCGGAGTGGATAAAATACCTTGACATGAGTCAGTAGGATCTATCGAGAGAGGCAGGTGCCGAACATTGGGTACTTAATTAGACTTAGGTGAAACTTGTGACTCACTCTGGTCATAGTCTATTGGTCGTTTTTGCATAAACTTAGTCAATTGGGTTTGTTGAGTAGTAACTTGAGAAAGTTGTTGCCCCATTCTTTTAACTTCCTCACGTAACAAGTCGACTGATTGTTTAGTATCGGTCATATCAATGGTGAGGGTCTCAAATTTTTGTTCTAATGCAGTATGGGATTCTAAAAGCTCACGAAGGGTCATAGTGAATGTAATGTAAATTTGGGCTAATGTAAATGACCTACTAGACTAAAAATTAAATCAAGTAATAAAAATTATAAATCAATGCAAATGGTTACACATAAGAACAAACTTATTGTAAAGAGGGTCAAATAAACGTGAAACAAGCAACAATGGATTTAACAAGAAATTGGGTAAGCTAAGTTATGAAGGTGGTGTGTGGGAACAACAAACAAAGAAGGTTATGAAGGTGGTATGCGGGAACAACAAACAAAGAAAGTTTAGGTTTTTTTTTTTTTTTTTGACTTACCAACAAATATAAATACTAGTCACCAATTCTCAACGAAAAGAATTCGTACTTGGTGTTAGATGCAACTCCAAGAGGATGCTTGACAAGTTAGGGGATGATCCTACAAAGTGTAGAACTTTCTGGGGTGTTTCTACAATTTTTGGAACTTCTGAGGTGATGTTTCTATAATTTTTTGAACTTGTTGGGACGTTTCTGCAATACTGAAATTTTTGGATTATTTCTGCAATTTTTTAGAACTTCTGGGGTGATTCTGTAATTTTCGAGAACTTCTGGAGAGGATCCTATAATTCTGGAGCTTTATGGGGGTGAAAGGGTTAAACCAATGTCTTCTTCCTTAACACGATGGAACAAGGAAGATGGATAGCGATGAAGTCGAAGCAACACAAATCAACGACGAAAACAGGCGCAATGATCTNACTTCTGGAGAGGATCCTATAATTCTGGAGCTTTATGGGGGTGAAAGGGTTAAACCAATGTCTTCTTCCTTAACACGATGGAACGAGGAAGATGGATAGCGATGAAGTCGAAGCAGCACAAATCAACGACGAAAACAGGCGCAATGATCTGTAACAATGATGAACAGTGCACAATTATGTTTTATTTTTATGGAACGAGACCAGAACAGTGCGCACGATGAAATTTTTTTTTTTTTCTAGAACAGGAACGATGAACAGTAAGAATCTGCCAAAGTTTTTTTTTTTTTGGACAGTCGGTGAACAGTGATTTTACGCGAACAATTTTTTTTTTTTTCCTCTATGAACGGCGTTGTTGAGATTTTTTATAATTTATACGAATCGAAATTAGGCTTTGATACTAAATTGATGTAGATCATATTAGGGAATAATTAGGAATGAGAAGGGAAGAAGAAAGAGATGATAAAAGAAGAAGAAGGAGATGAGAATAAAGGGAATTTTAGAAAGATGATTCAATATCAATAATCAATAATCAAAGTCTACCAAAACAAATAACATATCTCCTATATATATATATATATAGGGAGACCACAAATCCTAAAAGAACTCTAAAAAAAATAAATAGTCATAATGACAATTAAACCCCTGAAAAGTATAATGACAAATAATTCCTAATCCTTACGCCTACGCCTACTATAACAAAATATAATCCAATTCCTATCACGCGTTTTTAAAGTTTCTTTAGTTTTGGGACCTCTGCCTATTGTCTCATATGNCAAATCCTAAAAGAACTCTAAAAAAAATAAATAGTCATAATGACAATTAAACCCCTGAAAAGTATAATGACAAATAATTCCTAATCCTTACGCCTACGCCTACTATAACGAAATATAATCCAATTCCTATCACGCGTTTTTAAAGTTTCTTTAGTTTTGGGACCTCTGCCTATTGTCTCATATTTTGGTATGACAAGTGATTTTGTGTCCCAATTTTCACGCATCTTTCTTTTGAAAATTTGAGCCCTATACTTCATAAACCTTTCCAATTTACTGAAGTTTGAGTAAGACAGATCACCAAACAGCTTATTAAACCAACAATTTATTGTTCATCATTGTAAGAATACCTTGCCAAACCTTGTTTGCCTTCTGGTTGTCATCCTTGTAAACCTTTATTTCTACAGCTGGATGAAATTTTCTAGAGATTTTGTTCTTAAAGCAATGGAAAGGGGTAAGGATCTTCAGATTGGCTGACTATTCGTTTCTAATATATCAGATTCAACAATCTTCAAGAACTTGATTTGAATAATATGAAGACGATGATATGGTCAGGGAACATGAAGTTTGGAAATGGCTTTGTTTAATCATCTCTTTTACTTTACCTTCTTTCCCCTTTTGAGGGGGACCATCCAATATAACTGTAGTTCCAGCTAGAAGTCAATTGGTCGGTTAAGTTTATTAATTGTATCCCTTCTTTTGTGTTGCACCTGCTATGCTGCTAATTATCTTCATTTTTTACTTGGCCTACATTTGCCATTATCCTTCTGAATGTTGGTTCACTCATTTTTTAGTTTACCAAGTGAGTGATTGACTTTTTTGACTCGTTTTCATTTTATTATTTATGCAGCTTTGGGGTGCTGTCATCATGCAAAAGAAATACAAGGGACATGACTACTTGGTGGCTTTTTTTGTGACCATTGGGTGTTCATTATTTATTCTATATCCGGTAAGAACTATCTCCTTATATTCCTTTAGTAACAAATAGCATGACCATTGAAAATGTGTTTCCGTTTAGGGTAGTTAGGGATCAGGAATGATGTATTTTCAAGCTGTGTTCAAGAATATTTGTTATCAACAGTGTATTGGTACTACAATAATATGGCTATCCCCACACATCATTGTTTAGAGCTATAAACCTGTGGAATCTCATACTTTTTTGTAATTACTCAAGTGTTTCGGAACTCGAAGTCAGTTTTTTCTTGATGGACAAAAAACTACTTCTTGGACAACTCAGGTAAGCTGCAGAATTGTCACCTGAGCACACAGCAGTTGCAGCTGTTAGAAAATTATATAACCAGTTGGAAACTTATTCTATAAATGATACAATCAAGCATTACATTGTGATTCTCATAGAAAATGGTGGGCAAGGTTGTTTGTGCATATACATAAATATGTGCTACATGAAATGATGGTATGCTAAGGTCCTTTTTTACCCAAATTAGTTGTTTAAACGATCTGTATGTTAGGTCAATAGATCCACTGAACAAAAATACTCATACATATCAGTGACATCAATTACACCTGTTATCCACTCTAACGATAAGATATTGCAAAATTAAATTAGACGTTGGCTACTACATTATATCTTAAAGCTGTGACTTTTATTTTTTTGGGAAAGGAAATGATGAATTTGTTAGGAAGTGAGAAAATACATGAAGAAAGGTCAGGACTCGCTCAGAAGGAAAAAGAAGCAGCAACAGAGGTACAATACATATAGCCAACACCATGATGATTAATTCCTGAAAGACCACAGAATCCTTCATGGAGGGTTAGAGGAGCATGGCAAGCAGATATAAGATAGGATAATCTAACCAACCAATCCACTGATTCTGAGCCCTCCACCCCCTACCTCTTTCAATTAAGCAACGCTGGACACCCAAATCTAAAGGTATTGTAAGGCCTACCAAAAGATTCAAACCATATGCAATCCAAGTAAACCAACTTTTCTTGTTGAGCAAGGGTCCTTTTATAGATACAGCTAATTTACACACTTGGAGAATGCCCATTAGAAAAGGCTCGTAGGAGCAGTTGTCCAAAAGAAATGTGTAACCTGGAATGACCTTTGTGCACCAACTGGAAAATATTGCTTGAACGGGTTCTTCGAAAACATGTCATATACACTGCAGAAAGATAAGGGGATGGTGGAAAGAAAAACATCCCATGCATGTTAAGCCACCAAGTAATACATTACTAAAGCGATTCATAGGTGGTTAACATTTATAGTCTTGCATTTGCTACTCAGATGCACTGCTTAATTTGATCAAAAGATCCAAAGTAAGGTTTATGTTCTGAACTATCACTGAAGCAAAGAAAGCCATTCTGATGGAGCATGAGATCACAGAACACTTAATGTAGTTAGAGGTTCTTGAACTTTTTGCTGGGGAATATTGATATTATGTCATTGAAGTATGCTACAGAGTGCTTTGATAAGCAGAAGTGTTTGTGGAGACTTGATAGTGAGTTTTGGTATGTGCTGACTGGAAAGCAAATGTCGAGAATATTGTTTTCCTTCCTTTATTAGATATGCCTTTCTCTGTTTATTTGTGTATTTGTCCCAGGTGTAATGTATTTTGTTTGGAAGACATATCAGGTGTCTTTTTCTGTGTTTTATGGCTTTCTAGTATAGGAGTTGACATAGGTCTCATCTTGAAACCTTTGCTTTAGGGACTAATCCAAGATGGAAGTCCATGATAAACTTTGGAAGATGTGTTTTCAAAGAGATGATAGGTGCTGATAAAATCTTGTGGCTTGTTGATATAAGTTGAATTATTTGGTGCATTGCTTTTAACTGCAGGCAACAGTTGATATCAATCCTTATGGTAGAGGAAGAGGAAGAGAAAGCACAGTGTGGGGTGTTTCCTTGATGATTGGCTATCTTGGGTATCAGTTCCATTATATATTCTCCTTCCCCATCTTCAACCCCCCCACCCACAAAAAAAAAAAAACCCCTCCCCATCATGGGAAAACCCTCTGCAGTTTAAATATACCAATTCTTTCACCTGTTCTTCAGATTGCTGCATGAGCATTGATAATTGCCATTTGCTTCTCATCAACTGTATGAGTTTAATATATTACCATCCAGATGACCCAAGAAAGTATGAAGGGGAAGATGAATCGCTGTTCTTTTCCCATGATTTTGATTTCTCTTTTTTATGCCCCACAGATTTGATGGCTTTACAAGCACATTCCAGGATAAATTATTCAAAGGTTATGATATGGAAATACAGAATCAGATATTCTACACCACACTATGCTCTTGTATGCTCAGCTTGAGTGGTAATTCCCTTTTATCTGAATCTCATGAAACCCTAAACACTTTCTTAAACTCTTGCCTTTCTGTAGTATCATGAATTGATGGTTCTTATTGATTGTTAGGAGACAATATGGACTTATTTATCCCAATCTATGGTCTTTTTTCAACTTTATTGTTTCGATACTATACTTTCTAACTGAATAATTGGAAAGCGTGTTTTGCGAACACATTTCTATATTGAACCACACTTTCATAAAGATAACGATAGTTTGAGAAATAAGTTAGAAATTTATCGGAATAAAAAAGATTTAAGATCATAATAAAATAGCATTTGATTAATAATGTTTCTTTAGTGGTGACACAAACAAAAGCGTTATGGTTGTGCCGATTCCCATTATCTTTTGCCTCTATTCTTGGATTAGTAAACACAAGTGTTCTATTTATTGGCTTGGAAATGGTCATATTGAGCTAAAACTTCCCCTTTGAGGTTTGTGGTTTCACTATTTAACATATGAACAAAGAGGTTGATTGCATTTATGATACACACGTAAATAAATTTAAATAATATTATTTTTATAGAAAATGTGAATTTTATGTGTAATTAAATTAAATAATAAATTAAGTGTCAAATAATTAATTTATATTTTAATTATTACTAAATTTAATTATTGATTTATTTTATAAATTTTTAAGTAATTAATTTGTCATTTATTTAGATATTTTCNAAATTAAGTGTCAAATAATTAATTTATATTTTAATTATTACTAAATTTAATTATTGACTTATTTTATAAATTTTTAAGTAATTAATTTGTCATTTATTTAGATATTTTCTCGTCTCCTTTAAACATTTGTACATCTAATTATATTATAGAATTATTAATTTTTAATTTTGTTAAATAGATTAATTAGATCACTTATAATATTATTATTATTTTATTGCATATCACAAAATAAAAACAACATATAGATAACTACACATGTATAATAATTTAATATATATAGGACTTTTCTTCTTCATATAGATATAGATAATTATATGTAATTGTAAAAGAATTCAAAATAATTTAAAAGTCCTTATAAAAGAGTCAAAAACAAGTTGAAAGTCAAATAGGTGTAAAAGTAAAAATTGGAAGCAAATATATAGGTGGATATAAATTGACTTTATTATAATAATTAGGAACAAAATAGGAAATCAAAAGTTTTTAATAGATGCTGACATTTATAAATAGTATAGATTAATACAATATACAAGTGTACTTATAAATGGTGCAACAAGGATGTAGGAGAGTTTGCTCAACCAAACCTAGGTCACCTAGGATGAGTAATTGTTTTACAAATTTTGGAAACGAGACAGGCTCCACATTGCAGATTCTGACTTTGCCCGACCTACAGTCGCTTTCAAAGTGAAACTAATTCATGGCATTTCATGAATAGAAATGAAATAGAAACTCCGCTGTTTTGTCATTTCCACCATTCCTGGATGAAATAATTTATTGAGTTTTTAATTCTTTTCTTTTCATGTATGAATATGCATTATTACTCCTAAAACTGCTTTGGTTGCATTTCAGCTGTCAGTTATCGATTATGTTGGCCTTTTCTGTTTCTATTTAGGTCTAATTCTCCAGGGCCATCTCCTCATGGCAATAGATTTTGTATCTCGCAATACCGATTGTTTCCTTGATGTTGCACTGCTGTCAACGGTAGGTGATCTTTACAACAGTGCGATTCTTAACTGCTTTGAATAGGATTCCAAGTTCTCTATGTGCTCCTTCTGACTCTCGGTTGTCATGTGTTTACAAACATAACCATCTCACATACACGAATCAAGTACATGCCCATTGCCCCATCTGACAGAACAAAATTGTTAACTAGAATTTTCATTGCAGGTAGCAACAGCTAGTCAATTCTTCATTTACTACACTATCCGCACATTTGGTGCCCTCACATTTGCCACCATAATGACCACAAGACAGGTAACTGAGGCTCCATCTTTTCCCTTTTGCTCTTCCTATCTGCTATCCGAATTGACAATGCCCCTTAAAATTCTCTTTGTTTATATAGTTGGTGAGCATTCTGATTTCTTGCGTGTGGTTTGGTCACCCCCTCAGCTGGGAACAGTGTATCGGAGCTGTAAGCATTTGTCTGAATCCTCCTTTATTTCAATATAGATTTTCAGGAGCTCAAATGTTATTCTTTGGATATATGGATCAGGTTATCGTCTTTGGTTCCCTTTATGCAAGAAGCTTCTTAAAAAATAAACCCCCGAAACCTTCATCCTCGGAACAGACGGAAAATGGAGCTTCTAGTCCATTGAAGGTGAACCCATAGTACGAAATGGTTGCGTGATGGTACGACTTTGTGATGCCTTTAAAAGGTTCCTCTATTTGTGTGTGAAGGCAAAGCAATGAAAATGACTTTGTTGTTGTCTTCTTTTTGTTTCACATTTTTTTTTTTGGGAAAAAGGGAACATGTTGAATTAGTCACGTTAAATGATTTGATGTTAACCAGACTTGTTTATTAATAGTGTCGTATTTAAGCTAAAATGCATAACCCGTGAAAACAAGTTAGAGATATTTTGAATTACTTTTACTAGAATCTAAATTGATTGAATTTATAATTTACTAGGGGTATCTGTGCTTGAAGATACGGTAAACGAGAAATGATGGATTTAGAGGAGGAAAAAAATTCAATATGAATGGTTTTGAGAGGGATGTTGATGGCCGTTAAAATAATTTATTTAATACCGTTGGATGGACTTATTAAAATTTATCGTGTTTTATATTATAGACTGAGTAGGCATACACATATGGTATGTTTGATTTAGCAGAAAAGATTTCTTGGTCGGTGTAGATGAGAAGATCATGGGTTCATTAAACAATGTCCATATGGGGTGACTTGTTGAAATTAAATAGGTCTGTCATGTTAAAATAAAGGAGTTGATATCACCTCGGACGTATTTATTTCTCGAGCTTAGAGTTTGTGTTATTTTTAAGTGTGGATCTAGCAATAATAGTAGGGGTTACATTTTGTTGGTGGACATTTTTCTTGTAGATTTAAAAAATTTCAACGTTTACCGACTCTCGGGGCCTAGGGGTGGTTCATTGATTTTCAAGTTTAATCTCTTTTCATACTCCCTAAGAGTTAGTTATTCTTTTCTTTAAGGACATGTTCTAGTCTAGTTTAAGTCTTGGTATTCAGTTGCTAAGATTGAGGGAATAAATTTTTTTTTTTATTTGTATCTTTTGAACCTTTGGGTCTCGGCTCTTTCATTAATAGCCACTAGAAAGACTATCTGTTAACAAAATTGTCTTATGCTCAACAGGTGGATTGTAAATCCAATTACAATGAAGTAAGCCTCTGTTCATTGATTTAGTCACCCAATTCGCTGCCTGGTTTGCATTTCTCAAAACAAACCTGAAATTCAATTTCAAAATATCAAATGGATTTTTGATGTTATTCATCAAGTTTGATAAAGTAATCGGCACAAACCTAAATACTTTGTAGCAAAAAAAAAAGAAGTATGTTTGCCTTCAAATATTTTCTTATACACCTATTAACTCTCTAATCCCACGTGTAAGGCCTTAGGTTAAATAGGATAAAAAATTTTTATTTTGCTATTTTGCGAAAGTCAAAGTAACTTCGTATTGATCAATTTATTTGATGGTTCTAATGATTTTACCTATTGGACATGTGGACCCGTTAAAATCACATTGGTTAAAAATTACTTGGAGGTAAAGGGAAGTTTATTCATTCTTTTTATACTTTTTGATTTTCTCAAATTGGTGTCAGAAGAATTCCCAGTATCCACAAATATAAATTACGATTAAATTCAGCGTAATGAAGTTATTAATTTACTATAAATATATATTACAGAAAACCTTTAAAACAAAGTGGCTGTAGTTTAGTGGTTAGAATTCCACGTTGTGGCCGTGGAGACCTGGGCTCGAATCCCAGCAGCCACATTTTTTATCACCTTTTCTTATTGAATTTTAATATCGGTGACGCTCCCATTTCAACGGTACTAATCAATTCGTTTATTAAACTCCTATGCGATATATTTGTAGTTGTGTATATTCGATTTCGTGCACACGTATAAATCATGTTTATTTTTGATGTTTTGAATAGAAAGTGGTATATTTTATTAATCAAAGAGTATCATGAAAAAGAAAAGATATTAAAAAATCCGGAACTCTCTTATTCCAAACAAAAAACAATCTCAATAAACCTCGTTTGCTTGGCTAGACTAAAAGCCACTCTATTTTCATTTCTTCGAACCATAGATATTTCGTACGAACTAAACTCTAGTAGCTCCCTCTGTCATCACATTTCCAGGATTTTCATTCATAGAACCCATACTTTCTTGAGCTTCTAATTCCTTGATTAAACGCAAAAATTGAATGGAGTCCCCTTCCAAACTGATCTGCAACACACCTTTATCCCTACAAAACCACATTGCCTCCTTCATAACAACAACTTTAACACCTATCACCGCCTCCCCGGACTCGACCTTCTTAGTCATCCTTGCACCAGAACAACCCCGCAGAAGTTTGCATTCAATGGACATGCAGAAGGTGGTGTCCAAACTCAAACTCAAATTTATATTAAAAAAAAAAAGTAAAAAAACTTAATTTAAGTATAAACCTCTGTGATGGTAAAATCAAATTTATACTTAAATCTTTTAAAAAAATTCTCATATTATCATTTCTTTAAATTTTTTTCGCAAACATAAATGATTCCATCCCAAGAACATATTGCAGAATTTTTTTTTGTCAAATTAACATCCCAAGAGCTCATTTGAATCCACAGAATCAAAACAAGTACAATGGTCTGTGATGTTTCAAAATCCCTTTTGAAACTCTGGTCAAAGAAAAATTCACTTCAACAGAAGCCGATGAATGGTCTCTTCTAAAACCAAACAAAAACCCAACTACAAAAACCTTCTGAAACTCTGGTAAAAAAAAACCCAGCAACTTACCCTAATATTTCTTTGATTTTGTCATTAAGAAAGATTTATGGAAGCTGATGAGGGTTGTTGAATATCATAGCTTTCATGGTGGTGACGGACAAATTTCCGATGAAGGAGGCTATGGTTTTGGTGGGGACCGACAAACACAGTGTCATCAAAGGATATGTGAATGCAACATAGGCCATACTCCTAGGGTTTTTATTTGTATTATTTCTTGATAGATTTAATAATATCTCACCGAATGGAAGATTGCTAACCGAAAAAACATGCCTATGTTTGATGGGCCAAGTTAAACGCCCAACTCATGTTATAAGTCCAAGAATTCAATTCTAAGAGATTCAATTAGTCAAGTTCAAAGGAGTTTGTACTTAGTCAAGCTCATAAAGTTTCAAGAGTTACATTAGTAGAGGAGCACAAAGAGTCGTCTAAGAGCTCATCCAAGAACCTATTCTACCACCTTGGAGCAAGGATCATCTAAGAGCCTCCTCTACCACCTTGGAGCAAGCTCGTCCAAAAACTTCCTCTACCACCTTAGAGTAAAGGTCATTCAAAAGCCTCCTCTACCATAACAAGTGGTGTGCACACCAATTTTGTGCATCACCAACGTTTGTCATGTACAAGTAATGATGGGGAGAGCTTTAGCAACATGAGATAATTTGGCCGATAAGAGTTCGAATTATTCCATCATTTTATACGATTATAAACTCCATTTTCAATGCAGATTTGATGGTTTGTTTATGAACATTGGTCTTAACTCTCTTTTACCCTCGTTCTCTAATACCCACAACTTAGAGTGAGTTTACCTTATCTCGACCTCATCGATGACTATGGAAGCTCTTGAAAGCGTTCTTCTTTGAGATTGAAAACAATCAAAGCGTGCATGACATCGTCAAAATTACTCGACCGTCGATTTGGATTCATACAATACAAAATTTCGTTAATGCAAAAAATTTGTGTATGTAAAATTTTGGGTTAATCTCATTTTGCACCCTAAAAGATTGTTCAAATCTCAATTTACACCCCTAAAGATCAAAAATCTCAATTTACACCCTCAAAGATAGAAATTTGTATCAATGTGCATCCCCAAAGATAAAAAATCTCAATTTACACCCTCAAAGATAGAAATTTGTATCAATGTGCACATAAAATTAAATTGATAAATTATACCTAGATCCCCTCATGTTTGTCACTTAATCATTTGAACTCCTTCGCATTTAGAATATTCCCCTTACATCTCATGACGTTTGTGCATGTGTAACACATAACCACTTTTCGTTGATATCTGTTAATATAATTATTAAAAAATATGATTATCATAATAAAAAAATATAATTTCATATTACCTTTTATTTTGTGGATTCGATATACTCTAAAGTTAAAAATCAAGCTTACCATTTGAATGTCTAATAAAATGTAGATATTTATATAAAAGGTAATATGAAAAACATTATATAAATATTTACATTTTATTAGACATTCAAATGGTAAACTAGATTTTGAACTTTAGAATATATTAAACCCATAAAATAAAGGGTAATATGAAATTATAATTTTTTATTAGGATAAAATTATATTTTTTAACGGTTATATTAATAGATATCAATGAAAATGGGTTACGTGTTATACGTGCACAAATGTCATAAGATGTAGGAGTAATATTCTAAATGTGAAGAGGTCTAAATGATTAAGTGACAAGTATGAGGGGATCTAGGTATAATTTATCAATTTAGTTTTTAGGTGCACATTGATACAAATTTCTATCTTTGAGGGTGCAAATTGAGATTTTTTATCTTTGGGGTGCACATTGATATAAATTTCTATCTTTGAGGGTGCAAATTGAGATTTTTGATCTTTGGGGGTGCACATTGATACAAATTTCTATCTTTGAGAGTGTAAATTGAGATTTTTGATCTTTGAAGGTGCAAATTGAAATTCGAACAATCTTTCGAGGTGCAAAATGAGATTAACCCTAAAATTTTTCACTTGTCGATTCTTCTCTAATATGTGTATTTGCAATCTCGCACTTTGAAGTGTAATTCATTCCTCTTTTATACCGCATACCATAAGATTTAAGAAATTTCCAATATTCAGCACTGACGTCAAACCTGAAATAGTAATCAAGTTATGGTTTTTTCTTTTATGGTTTGATGATTCCATGATTTCATGGGTAGAGATATTGTAGAAGCGCCGTGCCCAGAGTAGAGGCAAAATAGGTCATTGATGACTTGTGTGACGTCGTCCAATAGTGGAGCACCGATGCACTGGCCTTGAATTTGTCGAGGGATGGAATCCAGTGGTGGTGGAGTAATTCGCCATAGGGTTATGTGAGGAAGAGGGCAAAAATTACCTTGGAAAAAAGGTC